GTAGAGACAGGCAGATCCCCAGGGCTCACCAGCCAGCCCAACTCCAGGCCAACACGAGACTTTGTCTCCAGCAATCAAACCAACAAACACAAAGACAAAACCATGAACAGCATTTGAAGAATAATGCTTGAGGAAGTCTTCAGGCCTACACACAACACACACACAGAGACATAGACACGCACATACACAGACATGCATGAGTATATATGAACACTAGGTACACACATGTGCATGAGTACCCATGAACACAAGGCTCACGTACACACAAGTATACACATAGGCACATACATACATGAGTACACATGACACAAGGCACACACACCAAGGCACACACACTCCAGTACACACACACACACACACACAAACACCTCACATAAAGCTCCAGTTCCAGGCTCTTCCAGAAACTGTTAGGGGAGCACCAGAGTGGAGAGGAGGTCTGACATTTAGGTTGAAAGGGAGGCCTGACAGGAAGAGTGCTCAGAGGTCCTGGGGTGGAATGCCTCCAAGTCCGTAGAGTGAGGTCCTTCAGGGAGAACCAGTGAAGGGTGCGTGTGTGGGTTTGGTGTCCATTTTCCTTCTTTTTTTAAGTTCAGTGTGTCCTGGAGTGTGAGGTCAGTCAGCTTGAGGGCGGGGATTGAGCTCAGGTGGTCAGATTTAGCAGTGAGTGGACGCTGTTCGGGTGCGTGCTAAGGCCGGTTGCATCACAGGTGTCCCGGGGGTCAAGGACATAGCCTGGCAAGAAGTGAGGTGGCTGCTGATATCGGTCCCACCTGGTGTCTCTTTGAAGGCCTTCACAACCCAGGCTTCTGTTGGCCATGAACCCAATGGCAGACACCAAAGCTTTTATGTCATGGGGCGCCCACCTGACCTGCTATTCATGTGTGCAGCCTGTACTTAAGAAGAAAGCTTTGCAGGCTAGAGAGATGGCTCACCTCTCTAGGACACATATTGCTTTGACAGAGAACTCAAGTTCAGTTCCTAGTACCCAAGTTGGGCTCCTCACTCCCTCTGCTCCATTTCCTGAGGATCCGACGTCTTCTTCTGGCCTCCATGGTCATCTGCCCTTATGTGCACGTATCTACACACATACCCATAGTTAAAAAAAAAAAAAAAAACAATCACCAGACAGCTGGGCAGTTGTGGTACATGCATTTAATCCCAGTACTCGGCAGGCAAAGGCAAGCGGATCTTTGAGTTCAGCCTGGTCTACAGAGCAAGTTCCAGGGCAGGCTCCAAAGCTACAGAGAAACACTGTCATGAAAATAACAAACAAACAAACAACAAAATCACCAGGCATGGTGACATACCTTTAATCCAAGCACCCCAGGCAGAGGCAGGCAGATGTTTGTGAGTGTGACTCCAGTCTTCTCTACATAGTGAATTATAGGCCATCCAGGGCTACGTAATGAGATGGTGTCTCAAAACATAAGTGAATAGATAAAAATGAAATGAAGTAAAAAGTTTTAAATGCTGTTCTTTCTAAAAGGTGGAGTGGGGAGGCTCCTTTGACTAGAGCTCAGTTGGTTCAGTACTTGCCAAACACACGGGAAGATCTGGGTTCAAATCCCCAGCACTGAATAAACCAGGCACACACTTTTAATCCTAGCACTTAGGAGGTAGAGGCGGGAGGATCAGGAGTTCAAAGTCATCCTCAGCTATTGTGAGGCCATCTTGGACTACATGAAAGCGTGTCTCAAAAAACAAAAACAAACAAGCCCAAATAATAAAGTATTAACCCACCCCCCTCAAAAAAAACTAGCAGACCTCACATGGCTGGGGTGAAATTTATCAAGAAACATATTTGAAAATATGCCAACGTACCCACGCCCAGAGAGGGATCTGGGGACTACAACGTGGAGATAAGGTCCATTCCAGTTGGGAGTTCACTAGGAGGCAATACAGCTACCTCGACCACCCACTGGCAGTGGGTGTGGGGTATGTGCCAAAGACACCTCCAGAGGAGACAAATGACCACTTACCCTCAGCACCCAGCCATACTGCCCCCAGAACCTTGGGCGGGGACAGACAGCTTGGGAAGGATCCCAGGGAGGGCTGTAGTTCAGGATTGAAGCCCGTCTGTTCTAGTTTCCCGGGGTCCTTTGGCCTGGAACATTTGGTGGAGCCCGTGAAAATTAAAGAGCCAACTGGCTGGAGGCTCGGAATGCCAGCCCATTTCCCCTGGCATGGTAGGTCCTGTTTGAGGGGAACCAGCTGGCATTAATGGCACACAACTCATCACGAACAGCAGCTAGCGATCAGAAGAATCAGAGCTAATAACCGGGTTCAGGAAAGATAATGAGATATGGAACAGCCATTGCTGAGGGTCCCCCAGGGTCTGTTTTAACAGCCTCCAAATAAGCTACAAAGCAGAAATTAACCAAACAGGGGCTCCATTTGGGCAGAGGAGGAAAACAAACAAGGTAGAGATTTGTACACGAATTCTTAGTATGGCCATGCCCAAGCTCAGGACCTGTGGGCCAACGACCATTGTGACCACTTGTCTCCAAGGGGACCGTGAGGTCAGAGCTGCTGGTGAGAATCCTAAAGAGAAGACTAGCTTCCTGCAGCTCCCAGGAGACTCTTTCCTACCCCAGGTTCCCACTGGCATGGGGCAAACCAGCTAGGTTACCCCTTCCAGACAGTGACAGTCCTAGCCAGTGGGGAGATAGTGACAGAGAGTGGCCAGCCAGGGAGGGGTCAGTTCCAGACTGGCATAGGAAGTCTCAGTGTTGGCTGCAAGCAATTGTCTCTAGTCTTCCCCCCCCCACCCCTGCATTCCAGCTCTGCCTAGTCCCAGGAAGCTGCCAGCCATGGAGAAGCTTGGGCCTCCCTGTTCCTTTCCCCCATGAGTCCTGCTTCCTACTCCTTCAATACTTCTTCATCTTTCTAAGTACGGGTGCAGGGCTCTGCCACCTGCAGGGACAGGGCCATATCAAAGGCCCTACCTCCCATTTATGCAACATCTAGGCCCCAATGCCTAGTGGACCTTTGTCTGGGATCCTATGTTATGGACGTGCTCCATGGTTCAGGGGGTGTCTGCCTTTGCTTCTGGAAAAGGAGGCTGTGTTAGCTGCTTTCGTATTGCTGTTACCAAACACCTACAAGAATACCCTTAGGAAGGGAGGGTTTACAGTTGGGCTCACGGTCTGAGGATACTGCCTATCATGGCAATAAGGCATAGTTACATGGGGGTGGCTTGTCGTACTGCATCCGTGACAGGGAGAAAAGCAACGTTAGTGCTGGTGTTCAGCTTGCTTTCCCCTTTTTATGCAGTCCAGGACCCTGGACAGCATTTAGGGTGGCTCTTCCTACCTCAGAGGACCTGATCTAGAAACTCCCTTACAGACATACCCAGCCCGGTATTTCCTAGGTGATTTTAGATTCTGCCAAGTTAATGGTGTTAACTATCACAGAGGCCAATTGGAAAGTGGGGGTGAAGCTTTGGAATTGGCAGACGCTGGGTTCAAATCCTACTCTTACCTGCCACTGCGTAGCTGTCTGTCTTTGGCAAAGTCGCCAATGCTCTCTGGGCCTGCCTCCTCTTGCTGAAAATGTCTTGTTAAGGCATTGCACGTGGCAGCTGGGGTGTGGTTCTGTGGTAGAGCACTTGCCCAGGGTGCCAGGCATCCCAGTGCTGTGAAAATAAAAAGCACTTGCTGATGGCCCAGAGGAGGTCTCCAGACATTCCACTCTGCTTTCTCTGCCCCTTCACGCTCTCCCTCTGCACTTTTCCTGTGGGGCTCAAGAGGCCATTTCTGAGTCACTCACTGCCTGCCGAGAGCTGGGGTTACCTACCTGGGCTCGGTGGGCTCCATCTGAGCAGTAGTACCCAGGATGGGCCGGTGGCATTCAGAAAGGCCCTGTTGTGTCATTGATATATGGATAACTATTAGTTCCTGCCACTCATCCTGCCCTCAAGCAAGCAGGGAGGACGTGGGCAGGGCTCCGGACACCGGCATGACAGTTAGGATATGCTTGCAGCACTGAGAGCCCTGGCAAAAGTGCCTGGCTGCCTGGCGGATGGTTGGGGGGTACACACATTTTTGTCCCATGCCCTTCCACTGAAGCCGGGGCCCAGCTGTTCCTGCTGTGTTTCCCAAAGCCCCAGCAACCAAAAAAGGTTGATTCCAGAGCCAGGCTAAGAGCACAGGGTAGCCTTGCTAAAGCCACCAGGAGCCCAGAGCTGAATAAAGGGCAGATCTTGCCATGGCCCTTACTGCCTCCTCTTCCTAGGATGGACATCAGGCCAGGGCTGGCTGGGCCTCAGTCTGGGGTACCAAGACTTCTGGGTCACATCTGCTGTCTCTCCACGCCCACTGCTGATCTAGTTTCTTCTAGATCGTCCTCTGATGGCCTAATTCACCTCCCTGTCCCCCAGCGAAGTCCCCTGTCACCGGTGCGGGGCTCTTTATCCATCGTCTGCTTGTGCCCGTTCCTCAACCCCCAGCTCATTGAACGTACGCTCAGGGCTGCTTAGATTCAGCATTTAGTGCCTGTAGTCCTTCCCTCCCACAGGTCCAGGGTCAGGGACCACACTGATGAGCCCAGGACTAAGTGCTTGGAGAGAGGTACCGGGGAAACGGGCAGGTGACATTGTCACATGGCTGCACTTACTGAGTCCTCTTATGTGTCAAGCTCATTCCTTTCGTGTACATTCTTATCGCAAACCCTGAGTGTGGTAGAAGTAACTGTCCTGTTCCTACCGCCAGGCAGTGACGTAGAGAAAGGTTAATGAGTCACCTGCTTAAGGTCCCACTGCTAGCAAGTGACAGAGGTGGTAGACTTCAGAGCTGGTCCTGAGGGAACAGGTGTGACCTGGGGTGGGTGGGTCACCCACCTCTAGCAAAGGCTGGAGGCCAGAAGGCCCAGTTAGCCTCAGGAGGGCGTTGCCTGGGTGTAGGGTGTGAAGGACGTTGGAGGGTTCTCCTCCTGCTTTCCCTCCAGCTCTGCTCCTCCCTTGCAGCATGGCAACTCTTATCCTGTTTTCTTTCCTTTCCAAGGTGGGCCTTAATGTGCTGGTTCAGAAAGCCAACAAGTTCACCCCAGCCACCCGCCTTCTTGTGCAGAGATTTGTGCCCTTTCCTGCAGTAGGTAAGGTGTGTGTGTGTGTGTGTGTGTGTGTGTGTGTGTTGCATGGTGGGGGTCTGGGGGAACTTCCAAGCACCTGGGTGAATGGTGGCTTCTTCAACATTGTATCTCCCTGATGTTTGTAGACTTGTGACTGGGAGACCTAAACCAAAGTTTACACAGATAGAAACGCAGGACCTACCAGATCAGTGCATGAGATACAGCTTTGGCACGAACGCTTGTGTGGTTGTTTTGTGGTGTTGGGGGTGCAACCTGGGACTTCATACACACAAGACAAGCATTCTGCCAACTAAGCCACACTCCCAGCCCTTTGTTTGAGACAAAGTCTCAGCCTGTAGCTTAGGCTCGCTTGGCAACAACTATGTAGCATAGGCTAGCCTCAGACTCCTGGAGACTTAGCACAGAGGTTGCTTGTTTGCTCATTTGTTTTGAGACAGAGTCTTATGTGTCCCAGAGTGGCCTCAAATTTGCTATTGTAATGGAGCATGACCTTGAACTTCTGGTCCTCCTACCTCCACCTCCCCAATGCTGGGATACGTGTGAGCACTAATAAACTCTTGGTTTATTGGGTGCCGTTGTTCGAAGCCAGGGCATCCTGCATGGCAGGCAAGCACTCTGTCAATATCTCCAGGCCAGCACAGGGAGATTCCTAACCTGGGACCCCCAGGTTACCTGGTAACCACCAGGAGTCAGAGCCCGGTGGATCCTGGGAACTGTAAAAAGTATTCACAATAAACTCTAATATATATTAAAAAGTTTATATTCTTTCTAACATGAGTATGCCCAGCAAATAGTAAAAACAAAAGTTCCTAAGACCCACATGATAGAAGGAGAGAGCCAACCCTTGAAAGTTGTCCTCTGGTGTTTGCACATGCCTCCACCAAGTAAATAAATTTAAAGGCACATCTATTACCGAATCACAATTTAAAATAAGTTGATAACTTGTTTTAATCTCTTTATATGTCTTTTGAATTTTGTTTTATACACATAGAGATATTAATCTGAGAGGGATGTCTAGTCTTCACCTGACTGTCAGAGGGGCCCCTGGCCACAGGGCAGCTCACGGTTTCTGCTGGATCCCTAGGATGTTGCAAAGCTTGGCCTGGCTCTCAGGAAACAGAACCCAGTTTCAGGGACAGAGAGAGACCACCGTGCAAAGTTTTGTTTTGTTTTAGAAATAACCGTGGAAGCAGCACAAAGCAGGTTCGCGTTTGTTGTTCAAAGAAGTATAAACGAGTACTGGAACCCCAAGTCAGAGCCCCCCTTCAGAATCTTTGTCGGAGGACAAAGGTGGGGACCGGCTTACCCCAGGGCCTGAAGGTTCTGGATCCTTCAGTGCCCACTCTGAGAGCCAAGCACCCCCCACACGCACACTCATAGCCCTGACCTGACCTTCTGCTCGGGCCTCAGCTTCTTGTATGTAATATATAGGCTTGGTACAGTCCCCTCTATGGCCCAGAGCTGCACAGGAGGCCACAGACCAGACTCCATCGACAGGAGCTTGCTGTGGCGTACCTACAGAATGGGGTGACCTCACCCCCTCCATGCCCAGCGGCTAATAAACTCCCAGAACCAACCACCCAGTGGAGCCTAGCCAACCCAGATAATTGCTATAGCAACTCCACACTTGTAATGAACTCTTAGCTATTTCTGCCGTGGGCCATTAATGGAATAACTCTTTAAAGCTGACTTTGTCATGGGGTCTAATTGAGCAAAAAAAAAAAAAAAAAAAACGTGGCTACTCAGTGGCTGGGCTTACAGCCACCAGGGCTGGAGGGCCCAAGGCAGCCTAGACTGGATCTGAGGCTCCACAGAGATGTAATTGGGACTTGGGGGATGGGGGTGGGGGTGGCAAGCCTCAGATAAGAACTTTGCCAGTGGCTTGTTCCAGCCATGTCCAGCCCCCATTGTGCTATGTAACCTTGAGCTGGTCTTACCCTCTCCGGGACTCCCTCAGGAGGGGAGGCCTTTCCTCTGGTCTGAGACTCTGACCTGATTCTCTCAGCTTTAGCTTGATTCACCTCCCATCTTCTTCTTGGGGACAGCCTTCAGCCCTCCCACTCAAGTTCAGCCTCTGCCACGCAGCTTGAGGTCCCTATATCCATGGCCGGTTGTACATACACATTGTGCTTTGCAACCTGCTAGTCCACACCCCCAGGACCTTGGGGGAAGCAGGCCCATGTGTAAAGAAGCTTCCGTTCGTCGCCCTGGTGAGTGATTGCCAGTGTGGTGTGAGGTAAAAGGCATCGTCTGCTCCCTGCACTTGGTCTCTCTGTACCATGCCCTGCCCTGACCAGCATGGAGCATCCCAAAGTCACTTGGCCCTTACTTTCTACAGCAGGCTGGCTAGCCACGGTCAGCCTCAGAGAAGCTCGCTCAGAAGCTACTTGACCATGTAAAAGTCCACTTTCCCATTAGGGCATCAGCACGATGGGAAGGCTCCATCATAGGAATGGGAGAGGGCGTTCTGAACCGACCACAACCACTCCTCTGTTCCTAGGCAAAGAATTGCTGTGTCCCCCACCCCCTGGCTTGCTCATCTAGATGCCTGCCCTGCTGAAAGTCTAGGTGTCTAGGCATCTCTGGGGCCTCTGCACTATCCAGAGCCCAAGTCACTCACCCACCCCATCCAGCTCAGAATGCTTGGTCCCTTTGTTCAAGTCTGCTGCTCTGTCCTGGGACCACCTCAACAATATCACAGGCCTGCACAAAGACTACAGAATCCAGACTTCCCAGGGACCACCTAGGCCTCCTTCCCTTTGTCCTTCGGTGTGCCTTGTTCAGTGCTGGGAGGGACTGAAGGCTGAGCTTACCATCTCTTTCTACAAAAGAATATACAAATTCCAACTGGGAACTACACCTTGCACCCAGAGCTGAAGCCTCCCAAGGCCCACCCAGAGCGACTCAATCTTGTCGCTGAGAAGTAGGTGTGTGTCCCGGAGGCGGCCAGACTATGCAGTGTCTTGCAGTGAGCATTCATTCCATCTCCAAGATTGCCCCTGACTTTTCATCTAGGGTTGTGTGAGCATTTGTGTGCACGTGAGTGCTGAGTGCTAGGAAGATGCTCCCTCTCAGGGAGGTTTTCTGCACCCACAACACCCTGCCCTGGTCTAGAACAGCAGTCATGTGGGAGATCTTGGTTTCTATTTATACGTGGAGACGGCAGGAAAGAAGGTGAACCTGGGAGCATGTGCGCTGGCACCAGAATCGATTGGGGACTGGTAATTAATTTGTTTAGGCCTTAATTAATTCTCCAGTTCTTTCTTATTTGTGGACTGTCACGCTTAATTGTGTTCAGGAGCTCAAGCTTGGAGCGGGCCCTCCGTTAATTGATGTGTGGCTGCTGGGAGGTGCGAGTTAATGGTTTGGGAAGCTGGGCAAACAGTGCCACTAAAGGTCAACAGAGGAGATGCTGGAAAAATACACATCCCTGGGTTCCAGCCACTGATCGCCAGAGCTGAGCCCACTCTACGGGAGGCAGGTCCCACAGATAGCGGCCTTGGAGGAAATGTGCAGGGAGGCAGCACTTAGGTGTGGGTCTCATGAGAGACAGCTGCGAGAAAAGAGGCATGCCTGTGGTCAGAGGTGGATGGAGCAGGGCCTCTAGAGGCGTGGAAATACCATTAGTCACCTCCCTCAGGGCGTCTGCTAAGAGCTGGTGCCCTGGCTTCATGTCTGCCTGACTGTACCCAAGGAGAAAGAAGCAGCAGCAAGTGCTCTTGGGTAACGGGGACGTCATCCTGAACCCAGTGCTCCCCTGAGCTTGAGCCTCGTTGTTAGTTACCGTTCTCATGCTGTGACAAGAGTACCTTAAGGAAGGGCACGGCTTGTTTTTGTCCAGTTCGGTAGTTTAACAGGGCATCGTGACCTTGTAACCTTGTAAGTTTGGTGAGCTCGCAGAGGGAGATGAACGCTGATGCTCAGCTCCTTAACCCCTTTTCATTCGGTTCTGGGCCCCAGCCCATGGGATGGTGCTCAGGGTGGGTTTCCCCGCCTCCGTTAACCCAATATAGAAACTGCCTCCTAGACAGATCAGTCTCCTAGGTGATTCTAGGTCCTGTCAAATTGAGAATCAGGGTGAACTGCCCCAGATACCTGCAGGGTCATAATCTTTCATGGATCAGAAAGTTCACCCTTGACTAGGAGGTCTTCTGGGTCCTTCCTTGGGTTCCTTTCATGAGTTATCAAAAAGTGCTTCATTGCCGTAGCATTTCTTGTTCTGTGTTCTAGAAAGTCTAGGGTGGGGGTGGGGTGTCTCCTGATTATTCATACCCAGGGAGCCTTACAGCTGCATCTTTGAGCCCTTTCCATGCCCCAGGCCACAGAGGTCTCCATGACATTGACTCCCCCTTTGCTCTACTATAAGAGGTAGCTGGCCAGTGCCACCTGAGCCTCAGACCCCCATCAAAGCATAGCTCCCCATTACCCATCTCCTATGGGCTGGACGGCAGTGGGTTGTACCTGTGGCAGCTGTGTCCCTGTGCCAGATCCCCTCACAGGGTCTGTGGTGCTTCATGAGGCACCCATGTCCCTTTGAGGTGCGTCAGGAGGCTGGAAGAGCCTGCTTGGGCCTGTTCTGTGCTTGTTCCTGAACCCACGGCAGCTGTGCTGCTGTCTGCCTCTCTACCTCTACCTCTCCTGAGCTCCAGACACATGGCCGTGCTGGCCCGGATGCCCACTCTTCCTGGTGCCTCAGCCCTCCACCTGTCCAGGGCAGGCTGCTTAAGTTTGCTTCCCTCATCAGACTGTGTGGTGTTTTGGGTACCATTTCTCAGGCCTCTCAGCCCAGCATGTCATCAGAGTGCATATTAGTTACCTTCCCGTTACTGCGACCAAATATCTGCCAAGAAGAAACTTCAGGGAGAGAGGATTGTTTTTTTTCCATTTGGCTTACAGTTTAAGAAAGAATATACCATGGTGATAAGGTCATAGCAGCAAAAACCTGGAATGGCTGGTGACATTGAGCCTACTGTCAGGAAGCAGAGAGAGAGGTGAATGGTTAGTGCTCAGCTTGACACACACCCTATTTTCATGTGTGTGGCACGCATGTGTGTGCATTTGAATGTTTTTGCATGTGCACGCATGTAGAAATGTATGTATGTACACGTGGAGACCTGAGGTTGATGCTGGGGATCACCTTAGCCAACAATAACAGCCTTGCTCAGTCAGATCCAGAGCTTGTTATGTGGCCAGTCCTGCTAGGCAGCTTCCTCTGGGGATCCTTTACCTTTGGAGGCTGGAATTACAGGTGAGTCACCACACCCACCCAGAATTCACACGGGTGTCTGGGGATCCAAACTCCTGTCCTCAGTTACCTGCACATAGCAAGCATTTTAACTGCTGAGCCATTGTTCCCACTCTGTAAACTTTATCTTTTTTTATTCAGCCCAAAGCTCCTCCCTCCTCAGCTGAACCTCTCTGGAAACACCCTTATAGACACATCCAGAGGTGTGTTTCCATGGTGATCCTAAACCCAGTCAGGTTAACAGTGAAGCTTAGCACAGCAGAGTTTCAGAGCTTTGTTAATGCTCAGGCAAGTGCTTTGACACAGAGTCCAGTCACTCTAGCTCAATGACACTGGCCACTAAAGTGTCTTTGACTATTCTGGATTTTTATATCCTGGTCTTTTCTTTTAGTTGGTAGGTGCCCGATAGATGATTAGGAGGTCATCCCTAGAAGCTTATCCCAGGCATATGCTCAAGTCTTTGTGGCCCATAAGCGCTACATCTATAAATGGAATTCTGGGATCATCGTGTAAGCTTTTACTGGGATTATACCAACATCCAGAATCTCACCAGCCCTCAGTATACGCTGGCCCTTCATCTGACCCCCATTGCCCTGACCAGGCTAGCAAGAGCCAAAGATAGGGGCACATGCTTATAATCCCAGCACCTGGGAGAAGACAGAGAGGGATCTGAGTTCAAGATTATCCTTGGCTACATAATGAGTTTAAGGTCAGCGTGCATGGCAGGAAATTCTATATCAAGAAACCAAAGCATGGGACTGGAGGGATGACTCAGCAGCTAAAAGCACGTACTGCTCTTCCGGTTCTCAGGGTCTACATTCACTCTAGCTGCAGGGGGATCTGACACCTCTAGCCTCTGAAGGCACCCATACTCGTGTGCACAAGCCTACACATAGGCATACCCACACCTGGCATTATGGAATATTAATTTGGAGGCAAGCAGTGGTCAGAAGGTCAAAATGGCACAAAAGTAAATACATGTTCTTGTGACAAGTGCTATAACATTTCATGGAGGCCAGGGCTGGGACTTGGTGCTGGAAGGCTCATGTAACATGCCTAGGATTTGATTGCACTACCACAAGGTAAGTAGGTGTGTGTGTGTGTGTGTGTGTGTGTGTGTGTGTGTGTGTGTGTGTGTAAAGCCAATAAGTCATTGTTTCTGGACAATGTTCCACATCTTCCTGGATTTTAGGAATTTAACCTGAGCTAATGTTTTGGGAAATGTGTGTTTCATTTGAGGAAGTTCCCTCACTATGTGGCTGAGTGACATAGAGTCTGAGTATCTACAGAAGGACCTCCATGTCACAGCTTCCTGGAAGGATGATCAAGGACCCGGGATTGGGGCTGCCTCAGAACTGGTGTGGACTCCCAGCATGGTCATGCAATCTAGCCTAATCAGTGCCTTCCAGGACAATGAGTGCTCTTGTCTCAAAGGAGATGGATGGCATTTCTAAGGGTGACACATGAGGTTGTCTTCTGGCTTCCCCAAGCACACATACATGAACACATATGTAGTTACACAAATGTAAAGGTGCCGTGACCTGACTTGGCTGGGGGACTTGGGGTAAGATCCTGGAGGTCAGTGGTGGTTCTGTGGGCTGCGTTTGAAGCAGATCCATCTTATGCGTGGCTTATGCTAGTCTCCAATGTGTCACTGAAGACAGGACGACCAGAGTGAAAGAGTTGGTTTCCAGCGTAGCCCTGACACATGGGAGTGGTTGTCATTGGAATGAGCTGGGTGACCCCTGGGTTTTAGCAATGTGTCTGGTTAGCAGCCTGACCTATGGGATAGCCACATGTGACCAAGTCACCATTTGAGGGCAGCTTACCTAGGCCCTGGCATGCTGTGGGTGCTCAATACATATTACTGAACAAATAGCTTTCTAACCCAAAGATGTGACCCTTTCTAAAACCTGGAAGGCAGAGAGATCCAGAGGCAGAGACGGTAGAGGGGCACTAGGCCGGGGTGGGGTGGGGTGGGGGGGTTGGGGGTGGGATGGGCAACGAAGGCAGGAGAGGGTGGGGCAAGCTTCATCTCATCATCCGGAAGCCACTGCAGTGCCAGCCAGGGAACTGCGGGCGGAGGAAAGTGAGTGATGCTCCCACTTCTGTTCTGCTTCTAGTGCACTCACTAGAGGGGTGTCTTAGCAGGAATGTTGTACAACTGTGTGTGTGCATGTGGAAGCCAGAGGACAGACAGCCTTCGGTGTCATTCCTCAGGTAGCTCCACCTTTCTCTGTTTCTCTGCCTCTCTCTCTGCCTCTCTGTTTCTGTTTCTCTCTCTCTCTCTCTCTCTCTCTCTCTCTCTCTCTCTCTCTCTCTCTCTCTCTCTCTCTGCATTGTCTCTCACTGGCCTGAGACTCCCTAAGTAGGTTAGGCTTGCTGTCCGGCCGGCTCCAGGGACCCCTCCAGTCCATCTTTCCAGCCCTGGGATTACAAGCACATGCAGTCACACTCATCCTTTTCCATGGAAACTAGGGATTGAGTTTAGGGCCTTGTGCTTATGCAGCAAGGACACTACTGAACTTTCTCCCCAGCCACCTTAGCAAGAACCTTATAGACAGAGATTACAAGCTTCAGAGTTAGCTATACCTAGGATGTACAAACTAATTTTTTTGTTTTTAGTTTAGCAATTTCCAGTCTTGAGTTGGTGACACTTCAGTATGGGCTGTGAAGCTCTCCCCTTGATTCTTAAGCAATTTAAAAGAAAATCTGGGCCATTTAGAGCTGCCTGTCAGATGCAGTATTGGGACACGCTGTGAAGTTAAGTAAATATTAAGGTGGATGTGCCTGTGTGGTGAGCAGTGTTTCTCTAGAGACAGAGGCGCTGCGTTCTGAGATTGAGGAGAGAGTGTGAGTTTGTCAGTGTGCTAGAGTGCATATGTGTGTGCCTGTAAACGTGCAGGTCCCTGCCGCGTGACCTGAGAAC